GGGAGTCTGCTTCTCCCTCTGACCCTCCCCCCTCTCATGTGCTCTCTCTCATTCTCTCTCTCTCAAATAAATAAATAAAATCTTCAAAAAAAAAAAAAAAAGTTCTTTGTACTACACCCTCAGATTTTCTATAAAACTGAAATTATTTCAAAAGAACAAAAAAAGATATGATACCAGATCCTATATGTATGTTATAATTACAACTATTCACAAAAGAATATAAATAGGGTAATAAAGTTATTAACAGCAAGCACAGTGTTAAGTTTTTGCATTTAAAAGGTACTTTTTTAACTTAAAAAAAAAACCTTTAAAGTCAGATTTCCATAACAGCAGTAACTTTTAAGACAACTACATATATGTTTAATTCAACAAGACAACTGGAATTATAAAGAAGTCCTCCAGCAAAACAGAAAACAGCATAATGAAGCAAACAGTCTTCATCTTTTTTATAACTAATCAGCAATTAATTCTAAGATGCACAAGGGCCCCCATTACCTAGCCAACTTGTTCTAGAGCAATGACATACACAAAGAACTCTGAAAACCAAAAACCAGATACCTTGATTTAGGTGTGTGGCCTCCATGATCTGAACACCATTCACAGAGCACTGAGACCCACTCAGGGGTATCAGAGTCACCGTTCCCCCAACATTTTCAAAGATGCAGTGCTCACTCTCCAAGTCGAGGCCATGAAGAACTAAGTTGGAAAAACATAAAAGAAAGATGATATTTTCTTTGTTATCTAGTACAATGATTCCCAACCTTTATGTATTTTTCCATAATGGAATACTCTACCCCTTCCATGTAAATATTGTGAGGTGAACATTTATGTTCATTGAGAAAAGTGAACTTCAAGAGTTCATGGCATCAACTGATAGAACTGAAGGTATCCTCTGAATATTACCTCAAAGGGTCTGGACATCACCTGTGTGAGGAAATAAGTTCTTGCATGCTAACTTATCTCATCTTTAGAGAGAAAATAGTTGAGCAATTTGTCTTCATTGAATACCACTGTGTCACTCAGATGTTGAATAAATTTCCCCCACCAGCCACCCAAAGGTCACAGTAAAACAGAAGCAACAAAAGAACTCCGTGGGTCAAGGACTTATTATAACCTAAACAGTTACAGACACTAACCTCCAGGAGCAGAAACCAAAGGTGACCTTGGCCTGGCATGGATCTTGGGAGGCCCAAGGAAGTCTCCAGAAGCTGTACTGGGATGCACACTGCCACAGCCTTTGCCAAATCTGAGAGCACAAGACCTCCACTGACCTCTCAGAGTATGTGGCTGCTAAAGTGTGCCTAAACTTGTAGGACTATCCTGAGTTATTCTTGCTTGGTGAGTGGCCAGGCACAGATATGAATGCCTATCAAATAAACCTACAAGATTTTAGGCACTGTTCTTAGCCAGTTTCTCAAAGGCACAAATCCAATAGCTCCCGCGGCGCCCCACAGAGCTGTACTACTGAACTTTTCTGTGCACAGAAAACATGTGTTCTGACCACTCATCATCATTTACAGCAACCCTAAAGATCAAACACACAACTTAACAATCCAAAGAAGAGGCCTGACACCTAGTTCTACTCAAGACCAGCTGAAGCTGAGGACTTCTAGGACCTGGTTTTGCAACAAATAGTACAACACGTAGAACTACACTAGCTTTGGCTTGAAGAATAGCTTATACTTGGCAGGAGAGCAAGTCCATCACCAACAATTCTAGAAACAGCTGATAGGACAGAATTCTTCCCCTGCCAATGCCCACCTTGTCACACACACACATACACCACCCACCACCACCGCAGTGGTCCCTAAGTTACGCTTTCAAAGCCTAGCAAGACCTCACCCTGCTCCAAGGTTGAATCACAGGTCATCTGTGTGCCTCAGCAAAGACTTTCAGGAAACCCAGAAGTCACACCTCCATATGTGTGCATGTGTGCATTCCTCCTCTCCGTCATCACTATACAGCTAAGTGTCTACATCCTTCCCATTAAAGCGTCTGATAGCCTTTATCTGTGTCTGTTGGCATTTTTCCATCACTATCCCACTGCAATTTAAATTACCCTTGAAAGTTGTGACAGAATACAGAATGTATATAGGATGGGGCGGGGGGATTCATAGTTCTACTTAATTCACTAAATTAATTGTTCTGTGTCACTTGTTTGAATTGAGTTCAAAATTATAGAAATGCACATACTGATCAATACTGTATTTGAGAAAGAGGGTTTTTTTTTTTTTCTAATCACTTTAGTGTCATTCAAAAGAAAATTCTTCATCAAATGATTTTTAAAAATCACTGGGAAGAGGAAATTATAAAGATTCTCACCAATATCTTGTTCTGTTGAAGCATCTTCTCTACCAACATATGTCTGGCCTTCCTAGGAAGAAAAGTCAAGTAAGACGTATTAGTAAGAACATGAGGAATGGTCTCTTTCTCTATTTTTCATCTGAACCCAAGCAAGCTGGCCAACGGGCTGAGCAGTGAGTGTCCTGGGCAGGCCACAGCCTCCGTGCAGGGAGGGTTCACTGAGGCTCTGAGACCATGTCCCACACTGACCGGGAAAGGGCCACACAACTCCTGAGGCTTAAGGCACAATCATGGGTTGGCTCCTATTGGGGCATGCATCAACGTCTGTCCATGCTGGTAATCCCACTGATGATGTTCCTGATCCTTTCTGGCAAGCTTCCCCTTTAGGGGCCAGGGGTTCTTCGTGTCTAAAGACATAGTTTATGGGAGTCTCAAAGTACAAATGCAATACCATTCTCATTTTAAGTCATGGATCAGAGAGAGGATACTAAGTCAAGGTTACAGAGGCAACCACTGATACTATTGTGGTTAATTCTGTTTTCTTGACACGAATAGCCTGTTTGGGACCAGGACCAATAACATAGGCAGGAGACATGCTTTATAATTAGCCCAAGGGACCAGAAAACGACATGTAGCAAATCCCAGTTCCAGGTGGTTGTAACTTTCCTTCCTTGGTCTGTCTGCTTTTTTGTTCCTTACCTCCCTCTCACTGATTCTACAAAGCGGAAGGCAAAGTGAATGGGTCTTCATTTAGCTTTAGAACTCCATAAAAATGGGAACTTCTAATTCCATGGAACACCAGTGAACTGATGAAAATTCCCAAAGGGCTCAAAGATTTGTAGTGTATTCTCTAATGTAATAGCTGTGTTCACAGACTCAGAGTATTAAATAAACCTTGCTAGTGTCTGAAGAGGAAACTGAACACAAAATTGTATGTTCCACTTAAGCAGTTTCTACCTTCAAGTGATATAATATGATTCCAGTACTCAGAAGGTCATCATCAATGCCAATCAAATGGGGTAGTTCAGAATCCAAAACAACTCCAATCCCTTCTTTCCTAAGGGCTAAAGTTTGTTCCTAAAATTAGGAGGGAAAGAAAAGGAAAAGGTTACTCAGAGGAAAGAGAACTTCTTATTAGGTGTTCTTTTGAGTGTTAAAATGAGCACGATTTTATTTCTCATCAAAAAAGCTGTAAGAAAAATGGAAAACCTTCATGTTGGAATCCTGGCATATGGCAGGCAAAGTGAACTTGAAACATAAAAACTCAACATAAAATGAAATAAACTTATGGCCTAATGAATACAACTTCTTCGAAGCCAAGCTCAAACCTTACCTTCCTTAGGAAAGGTCCTAGGACCACCTGACTACAAAGTAATCTTTCTGCCTCTTCAGAATCTTTATTTCATTTAATGTCTAGAGGTCTCCTGATTTGCTGGCTCTTCTCACCAGTTCCTATGGTCAAACTGTGAATGTTCCCCAAAGCAACTCTTTCCTGTGTATTAGTGACCCCTGTACCAGAAGTACCTACACCTCTGTCTCCTACAGCAACTTCTACCTACCAGGTCATTCCCGCCTACATACCAGTGGGCACAGATCTCCTACCATCAACCCCCGCCACAACCACCCCCCTTGGCCCTCTGCATCTCCTCCAGCTACCACCAGTTTCTCTGTGCCTCTTTGGAAAAAATCATCTCCAAAGACTTCCCTACGCTAGTGGTTTCTCCAATTCCTCCCCTCCTGCTCTCTCCTGCACCCATCCATGCAGGCTTTCATCCTTGGGACTAGAGTACCCACCGTCACTCTCTTGATGACAACATCCTGTCTCTGGACTTCACCTGCAATCCATATACTGATGACTTGAATCTAAATCTCTATAGACAGTCCTCTCCCTTGACCCCACACTCATGCATACACACGCTCGTTTACCTCAGTGTATTCTGTGGGGATACCAAAGAAGCAGCTCAGGCAAATACATCGAAAAACCAACCCTTGACTTCCCCTGCCTCCCAAACCTGCACACCATACCATCTGCGTGAATGCCAACCTTCCTTCTAGTTGTTCAGACCAAAAATCATGGCTATACTTTGCTCCTTTCTTTCTCTAATTCCTACATGCTTAGTGTTGACTCTCCCTTCAGAATATGCCCCCAATCTAACAACATCGAACCACCTGCACCACATTCCTCCTGAGCCCCAACTACCATCATCTTTCACCTGGAAACCCACAGTAATCGAGGCTACCACCCATGGCGCCCTGCTGTGGCACGTGCTCTACTCAGCAGCCAGAGGCATGTGAGGGCAGGCTGCTCCTCTGCTCAAATCCTTTCCATGGCCTCCTATTTCCCAGAGATGAAAGCCCAAGTCCTTGTAAGCCTCTACAAAGCTCTACATGATCTCAATCCTTGCTAACCTCCTGTTATCATCTCCCCCTCTTGCTCACTCCTGTGTAGGAGTCCAGAGGCTCCTAGCTATTGCTCAAACTTGTCAAGGTTGTGACAATCAAAAGGTCTCCAGATACTGGCAAATGTACCCTGGGGAAAAAAATCACCCCTAGTTGAGAAGAATTACCACACACACACACGCATAACTCAGCCCTCAATTCCTCAGGTCTCCACTCAAAAGCCACCTTCCCTATCACCCATACAAAATAGTAATCACCAAACTCCTTTATCCTGATTCATTTCCCTCCTTAGCAATTACCACTATATGATGTTATATATAAGCTTATTACTTTGTCCAGATTAGAATGTAACCCAGTGCTTGATTTCATGTCTGACACATAGTAACTGCTCAGTATTTGTCAAATGAATGAAATGAGTGGGCAGATACTTGAAGCTCACACTTGACCTTAGCCAAAAGGCCAAGAAGCGATGATACTTGCAGTTCAGAGAAATGCAGGAAGGAGGGTCAATAGCACCGGTCAGGCAAGGGACCATGGGCCTTTGTCTTAACATCAGGCCCATCTGTACCATGACAAAAGAGCTCTAAAATCAGGCTTCTAGACAAGTCTGAGATAAATTCCAAAAACTGAAAGCCTTGAGGTTGGGCTGTGCTGAGTTCAAACTGAGTCAGATCCAAGAGCACAACCTTATGCTCTGTGATTTTAGGTATGATGTGAGCAACAGGGAAGCAAGTTCCAGGCTACTAACCAGGCTCGGGGTAGAAACACTCCCAGCAAATCTTCTCCCCACCCCAACCCCTATAATGGACACAGTGATCAGGGCACAGCTCTAGACCCCTAATGTGAGAACTGCCTGAAACACAATCAGTATGCCTTACATTCCCGGAATGAATCAATGTATTCTGTGTCATTTAAATATTAAAACAATGCTATCCTCTAGGTGAAGGACTCAGAACTTCACAACCTTGCAGACAAGGGAGCTCCTAAGAGGTTCAGGGAAGGGCAGTAGAAAGAGAGAAGTCCCTCCGGGCCTTCATCTCTACACACATTTGAGTCTCAAACACACACAGCAGAGCTACAGTCATGCAAGAGGGTGACGGAATGAAATGCCAAAAAATAAAAACAAAAAAAAATAAAAATCACCACTTGCAAGAAAGCAATTTAACAACCATTAAATAGATACACAGAGAAAATGACCAATGCATAACTTAGATTCAAGAAAAGGAAATGAAGCATGTCATTGTTCTTCAATTACTCCTCTTATCAGCCGTGCTCCCATTCCAGGGTTCAGAACCTCAGGCTTCCAGGTCGGAGACTTCAGTAATCCTCAGTAATCCTGATTTACTATAACAAGGCCCTCGCAAATCTTAGCCTAATGAGTACTCTAAATAAACCAGCCTCTACTCCTACCTCTCAGGTCTTGGGAAAATTTGTGCTTTTCCTCCTGCCTGTAGAATTCAAGCAGAAGTGGACAGTGTGTGCTTTTTTTTTTTTTTAAGATATATATTAGAGTGGAGAATTTAATCACACGGTTCCATTCCATAAAACAGTGTCTTCACTGGAAGGTCTGGTAGCTCTGAACTGTGACAGCACTGCACACATGGTACGTAGCCACCTGCCAAAGAATGTTCCAGGCCTCTAGGTCCATGTGAAAAGGACAGTGACTGTTCTTGTAAGTCCAGAGACATATGTATTCTCTTTCTGCATAAAAGTGAACAATAACCCAAGAAAAAGGCAATATTTTAAATTTTTTTTTTTTTTAAGATTTTATTTATTTTTTTGACAGAGAGAGACACAGCGAGAGAGGGAACACAAGCAGGGGGAGTGTGAGAGGGAGAAGCAGGCTTCCCGCGGAGCAGGGAGCCCAATGCGGGGCTCGATCCCAGGACCCTGGGATCATGACCTGAGCCGAAGGCAGATGCTTAACAACTGAGCCACCCAGGCACCCCTATTTTAAATTCTAATAGCTCCCACTCAAACTAGAAAAATTGTTTTGGACTACATCCCAGTTTAGTTTCATATTCTTTTTTTTTTTTTAAAGCACTGAAAAACACCTTTTTTTCCTTCCTTGAAATAAGTCTCATAGACTTTGAAAATCATTTGAAATTCATAACTTCGGAGCCACTGGGTCAAAAGCATTACTTGTCCCCAACCGTACCCTCCCCACACACACCAGCATGTTCTCGCACACACTTCCATATGCTGAATGGGTAAAACCTGAATTAAGAGAAAGTTTTCCAGGATTGGGAGTGGGGGCAGATGAATTTATGATTAATGCTGCTCTAAAGCTCTATGACATTCAAGCTGCATTCACTACACGGTATTATAAAAGTGTCACCTCATAAAACTAAAAACGAGGGTTTAAATCATTGCTCAAGTGAAAAAGTAATTTCAGACAAAAATATCTATCACATATAAAATATTTATTGAGTGGCATCTACTGTTATACATAATTTATGAAACACCTCTTTGATAAGATGGAATATTTTTTTT